ATCGGATGAGTATGCAGATGAGCATCAAAGCAAGAATAATGGACATGCCGTTCATGATGCACCATTAGGATGATTATGATGATGATGATGAAGACGATGACGATGACGATCGTAATGACGATGGTGATGATGACAAAGGCGATAGAAGTAGCGATGGTGATGGCGATGATGATGACGATGATGATGTCGATGATATTTAACCCTGATGATGACGAAGGTTATGATGATGGTGGTGATGAAAATAAAGCCGTGATGTTGCCGACGACGATCATGACCTTGACGGCGGTGGTGCTGGTGGTGGTGTAACAGGGTGGCAATGATGGTGACCGTGATCACCATGATTGCGCAACGATGAAGAATGAGATTGTGATGGTTATGACGTTGGTGATGTTGATCATCACGAAGAAGAACAAGTTGGATGAATATGGTGGTATCCATTCGCTGGATGACATATCAAAGACGGCATCATCATCAGCACAGTACCTCCACCACCATCACGGCTGCTACCACAGCTGCTGCCGCACCACGTCTCCGTTCTGCGGCCAGCGATGCTGCATGTGACGTGACTGCCCCCAAGGATCCAAAGGCACAGATTTTGAACATGAGTGCGCCAGGCCTTCATCGCAACCTTGTCAAGCACAGAAGGTCTTAGAAGGGGCTTCATCTCCGAGCCAAGGAAAACATTTGAAGAGGCCGTCGGTGCGTTTTTTCCGGTTTGACCTTCTTGGCATTTGGAGTTTGGGCTTGGCTGTTCCTTTTTGGGAGTCTTTGTGTTGAGCAGGTTCATGAAAACCTTAGAACCCCCAAACCTTAAACCCACGAGCAACGATTTTCGAGACACGAACTCAAGGTTTTAGCCCTAAGCCCTACCCAAAACTCTGAACCCCCAGCCCTAAACCCTGAATCCTTCACCGAGCCGGAAAAGGAGGTGTTGAAGAGTTGTTCTGTGGCTGGACTACTTCAGGTGTACAGGGGGATGTAGCAGTGAGGCACGCAGCTTGAAGCTCATAGAGGACCAAGAGGTCCTTAGCTCCTCGCAACCCTAATATAGCAACGAAATAACTACCAATAATATTTTGGGGGTTCCTTCTTATAAGTATAGTAGAATGGGCCCCAAAAAACTATTCTAATTTTTAAGGTCCCTACATTACAAACCCCCAAACCCATGTACCCTTAACTTCTTCGGACACGTGCACGGGCTAAACAGACAGGCCTATGGGCCAGTGGTGGCTTTTCTTGTGGTCGGGAAGCCTGAGATGCTGAAACCCGCAAAGCCCTGAACCCACAAGCCCTAGCCGATCCTTGCCCCAGACGCCCTAGCCCCTTACCCTCAGGCGACTTGAAGAGTTTATATGTATTTAGTTTGTATGCGACTTGGCCTTGAAGTAACGAGAGAACGAATGCTCTTTGAGCTTTTAAGCATTGAAGCATTTCGGGCTTCGTTTTCGCAGGCCGTCCGGCGACATTTCCCCACACTGGGGGTGCAAGGAGTCAATGTGGGGCACTTAGCTTTCAGGGTAGCGTGGGTTCAGTAGAGTTTTGGGTTTGGGGCTGTGGGTTAGAGCCCATTAAGTGCACATCTATATGCAGACTGACATTGAAGTGTGTGTACCCGAGCATCAGCTTCAACATGGCCATAGCAGTAGCGAAGCCAGTCTTGTTCTTACCCGTCGGGCAACACCGTGCAGCCCTTGTCCTAGTCCACGTCCTGACTTCAGCTGGTTTCTTGAAAGCTTGGCGAGTTCGGAAGTCATCAACACATCGCATCGTGTGTGGGATCCTAACGTAGGGCTTTTGAAGTGGAGAGGTGCCTGCAAATGGAAGTACTGCCTTGCTTGATAAGTGTACCCTCGACAGTTTATACACGGCATACTCCATAGACTATAGGGCATGACTACGTGCAGCAAAACAGGTGCTGCAGTGCATCTATATGTGTATGTAGCGATATGTAGCACAAACAGCTCTGTCTCATATATCTGGCCACCTATGAGCAGATCTTTCGTGCTTTCCACTCAACCATCCAAGCGTATCTGTCTATGTCAATCCATCCACCTACCCATCCATCTATCTACATGTCTGTCTACCTATGTATCCATCTATCCAGGCATCTAACATCATCTATCATCTATCCAGACCGATACATACATAGAATCGCGGGCTGGATCGCTAGGTAAACAGAAAGGTACACAGATAGGTAGGTGCATAGGTGGAAAGGTAAACTGACAGATTGATTAGGAGATAGAGAAGATAGAGATATGGAGAGACAAATATCAAGAGAGACAGAGAGACGATAGAGAGAGAGAGAGAGAAAGTGTGGATAGATCGATGGATCGATGGATGGATGGATGGATGGATGGATGGATGGATGGACAGAATGATGGATGGATGGATGGATGGATGCGTGGAGGGAGGGAGGGAGGGAGGGATGGATGGGATAGATAGACGTACACTGATGGTACGTCAGATGCTCATGTATGCATGTGTTCTGTTGTTTGGTGTGATTTTGTAGGTACATGAAACATGCATGCATGCATACATACATACGCGCACATGTACATACGTACATACATACACGCACACATATACATATGCATATACATGTACATGTGCCGATACACATACACATGTGCACATAGTACACACATACACATATGCACATCCATCAGTCCGTCCATCCATGTACCCATGCATGCCTGCATGCATTCACACTACAGATGTGTATGTATATATATAGACACATATACATATATATATATATATACACACACATATTCAATACCAACGTACACACATGTCTTCATGTCTGAGTATATGTATGCATATATACATACAGATATGTACATGCATGTGTATCCGTAGTTAACTTCCCCTGCAGGTCGGAAGTGTAACATGTATTTACACACAAAGGTCTGTAGGTTTGCTCGCGGGATCCTGTTCATCCATCGGGCTTAGCATACGAGGCTGTCCTCCTCACTCACGGCCATGCGGATGCCATCCTCGGCCTAGACAGTCTCCGGGAGGCCCAGAAGAGGACATCCTTGAGAAAGGTGTTTTGTTTGGGCGTTGGGGTTTTCATTACATATCAGACTACCTTGAATCTATTGGGGGCTTCTCAGTTTCTACAACTCTCACGATCCATGCCGGCAGAAGTGAGTGGGAATGAAGGCAGACCCGTCACCCATCTAGCCGTCCGTGATCAACCACCAACAAAAACATCGCAGGTCCTCTTGTCGTGTGTACAGGTGTAAGTCTTTCACTAGTCGTTACCGCCTTCGACCCGGCTTTCATGTTTCGTCGAGTATTACTTGTTCATCCAGACAGGCACTAAGCTATCGGTGCGGTCGCCTGACCAAACCGGCCTGGCCGCTTGATGGATGTTGCGTCTGTCATGTCAAATCGATGTTTCGTAGTTAGGAATACCGAGCCCACTCCGAAGAGAAAAGTGACATCAGTATAGGGGCCTTAGCAATTACCTATACTATTTTTGGGCCTCAAAGTTTTCTGGGATGGCAGGTGCAACTCGCCCGAGAGCCTGCGGAATGCTGGACGCTCCAGGCATTGCGCTCTGGGGAAGACAAGAAGAAGACAGCTTGTCCGGTGGTATTGTACCGTAGCAGGAATTCATTTTTTCATTCAGAATAACACAGTCACGGTACAGCATTCGGCGGTGGAACAGAATGATAAGATAGACAGGTGCACAGGTAGAGAGATAGACAGATAGAAAAGTTGGATGGATAGACATATGTATATATATATATATAGATGGACAGATAGACGGATGAATGGATGGACAAATCCACGCCCACAAGGATCGGTTTACTACGATGTACTTGCACGGAAATATCTCATACACTGGCACACACATCTGCAATTTTTGCTATACTCTTGTACACATTTGTTTTTTTGATTATGTACATATAGACATATAGATGCATAAACTGTCGATGAATTTCAACATGCCTGGTATATAGATATACAACAGCGAACATACAAACCTGAAGGTGTACCAATTGATGTACACACACAGATACGCTCATGCATACATGGTGACATGCGTACCTACATATGTGCTCGTGCATACCTACCTGCCAACCTACATACGTACATGCGTACAGACGTACATACATACGTGGATGCATGCATGGTGCATGCGTACACACATGCATACACACAGACATACCTTCAAACCCATCCGTGAGGCAAGAATGCATGCAGGCAGGTATACATCTGCGTTCATGTGAGTACATATACATATGTATAAATGCCGATGTATGAGTGTGTTCGTGTGTGTATATACATATATGAATATATGAATATATATTTACGACTACTACTACTGCCACTACTACTGCCGCTACTGCCACTGCCGCTGTGTCATACAGAGTTTTCCGTCTCGGCTACTGCCTCTAGGCACTTGAAGTTCAGAATCAGGTAGTACATGCCGTCTCATCTCCAGAGGCGAAGACGCCAATTTATGCGACGGCAGACACCGTCAAGGAGGCTCGTGGGTGCATCATGTCGTTGTGCTGCGAATATTGCCAAGCAGACAAGGAGCTGATCTGCAGGTCGTCAGCAGCAACGTATAGGTGTTGAGTTGAGATCGCTATAACCGGATTGAATAGAGCATGTTAGTGTTGAATTCGTTTACAAAAGATGATGAGGCTTGACATGAGATGACATGTTCCAGTATGTTACAGTATGACATGTTATTGTACGATATGGTGCGGTGTGATATGATATGGTATGGTATGATATGTTTGATGGTAGAAGGTCTGCGGCGAGAAGTATAGCATGAGAAGACATGACTTGTTGCCAACTGTGTCGGCTTTAGATTGTTAACATTTCGTCATGTCATCATATATCAAGTCATACACTGTCAGATCATGCTGTATGATATCAGGCTGTAGACATATCATACCATATCACAGCAGGTCATATCCTACAATGCATCTCTCTCTCTCTCTCTCTGCTGGCGCCAGATTTGGCACCACTTCCACTACATGCTGCCTGCTGACAGCGGCGAGATAGCGGAAGGGCCCACCTTGAGGCGGCGGTCGAGTGCCTCCAGGCCAGTGGGAGCATCATGGCATTCAGGGTTTAGGGTTTCAGGGTTTAGGGGTTTAGGGTTTGGTGTTTAGGGCTTCAGCTTCAGGGCTAGTTTAGGGACAGGTTGGGCAAGAAACACAAGGGCCTTCGAAGGTCAAGGTTGGATGATCTTTCTTGTGCAGTCGAACTGGGGCATATACTGGGTTCGGAACTCAGGGCGCGCTTCCACACCGTCCGTGTTGCTTTTTCCTGGATTGGCTTGCTTCTTTGTCTAACCGACCCAGAGGGTCCAAGTACTCCCTATTATAGGACTTTAGGGCCTTATTAGGTACCAAAAACCCATAAAAAGGGACTACTTGGACCCTTAAGGCGACACAGTACATCATGCTGACAGGATCGTCGGCGGTCTCGTGCCCAACTGCGTCGAAGAGTTCGAGACGTTTCAACCACTTCCAGGCATCTCCCCTGAACGCACAGGGTAGCCTGGAGGTTGAGGAATGTGGGTATGGTTGATCATATAAATCCTGTATTACTTAGTGACCCTAGACTATGGGAATTATGGCATATTCCCCAGTATGGGAAATGCAGGTTTTGCATCATCAACCGTATTGCTGTATGGCACTATGGGAGCAGTACAACGCTTCGCGTACAAGGTCATCTGTACCGCAAAGCGCAGCATGAAGTATGTGTCTCCTTGGCACTTTGGGTACTCCAAGAATATTGCTGCATGGTTCCTCGCATACTTCTAGTAGAATATATGTATATATATATATATATATATATATATATATATATATGTATATACCCATCTCCGAAAGAAATCGTAAACCCTCATCCCGTTTTCGGTCCCAGATTTCCAGCTTGACTCCTGGCCTCCGAAACGTGAGTGCGACTCCCCTCATTTCCGGATTGCTGCTGTTTTCTGATTTTACGGTTAATATAACAAGGTTACAAACAAACCTACACGCAATACTACTAGGCTGTAAGGCTGTAAGGGCTACGAAAAGTTGTATTGGCGGAGCGCTGGTGGTTCCGGCGGCAGTGCTGGCAGTTGTAGTGGCCGTGGTGCTCAAGTTGCCTCGCAGTACTTGCTGCTGCCATTGTCCATGCCATTGTGGGTGCTGACGAGTATCTTTGTAGCACGTGTATCGCAAAGATGATTCCAACTGCTAGTTTCAGTGTTATCGTCACGATTTCAAACTTGCATTGTTGCACGACCCTAGGTAGGCCTTCGGGAGATTTTATATGTTCCCTTATGGGGCTTAAGAGTACCCTTTTTACGGATAGTTTTCAGAGGCTTTAAAGGGTCAACCTAGGACCAGAATTCGTACTCAAGGTTGCCACTCCCAGTGTGTACTGCTTGCTGGTCTCTGACTCAACCTGGCCTCTGATTACCACTTTCCCTAGACGGCAACTTTAAAGCTCCGAAACATCAGGGCAACGAAGAAGCCTAACTCTTGACCGTAAGGGTATTTAAAATTTAGAAAAATTCCAATCTTTGGTTCCTACAATCTCTAAGAAACAGCTCGAACTAAATTTTGTGCTAGGGGTCTAAGATCCGTATAGTGAGAAGCGTGTGATTCAGCAAGGTTTCGAGGTTCAGCCGCTGCCGGTCCTTCACGGTGGCACCTATGCTACTTGGCAAGTCTTTAATATAGAGGGCTGAATCATTACCTATACTTTTTTGGGGGGCCCCTTATTATAGTTATAGTATAAAGGAGCCCAAGACCTCATTCTAAATATTAAGGCCCCTATATTAACGACAGGAGCACAGGATTTGCTTGTCGGGCAAGTGCAGACTATCGGAAATGCCGCCTTCGTTTTTCGAAGGCGTAGCATGTGCTTTGGCCCCCACTTAGTGTTTTACCTGCGTCGCTATGGTATGGCGACAGCAAGAAGATGTCGTGGGCCAGGCTCAGACGAGAATGCACCCACTCTACCCGCAACGAACCTGGGTTTGGGTCTATATAATGCTATGCGATGTATGCTATGCTGTGCTGTGCTGTTCCGTGCCGTGCTATGCGCAGCTGTGCCATGCTATGCTAATCTAGTATTGGTCCTTCCTTCCTCTTGAAGCTGCCCAAGAGCTGGCAAATAGAATAGGGTTTGGGTATTAATAGTTAGAATCGGGTTTTGGGTATGCTAGAGTATGAATATAATATAATTATTTAGGCCCACACTGAGGTTTGTATGGGCTTTCGCTTCGGCATGCACGGTGAAGTGCTGTATCTCTCCGCTGCTTGGAGCAACTGTGCAACCTTTGTCGGAGCCTACTAAAGCGGCTTAAATAATTACCTATACTATTTTGGGGGTTCTTCATTATATTTATAGTGGAATATACCGATATACCCAAAACCCTATTCTAATTATTTTGTAGGCTTCTATATAACCCGGTTTTTTGAGCAGTTTTATGTCTCTTGGTTGCATCCTGGGGATCTCCATCCCAAATCCTGCTAAGCCCAAAGCATCGCGCTTTGTGTGACCGTGCGGCCCCGACGAAGGCACCAACAGGTTCAAGAAATAACGGTTTAGGGTTTAGCATGTAGGGTTTAGGGTTTAGGGTAATGGTTGGTAAATAGTTGTCATCAGACTGTCCGTAGTCATTATTGTCGTCGTCATCGTCTTCATCGCCATCATGAGCATCTGGGTCTCACAATCGTCATCATGGGCCATGACTAGTGTCAAAACTATTATCCCTACGTTCAAGCCCATTCCTGGCTCCTTTCCTACAAGCTCGGCTTGAGCAAGTCGAAGCGTGTTGCCTCGGTTCTAGTGGTTACACTGGCGCCAAGGCTGTGGGTCCGAGCCGCTTGATATTACCTTTAACACCCAGGCTTGAATCAACTTTAGAAAGGTCGAAAGGCAAAGCGGAATCAACCCTAGTACAGAACTCACCACAGAACCACCTGCTACACTACAAGATCCTGCACCCTCCTGTAGTGATGATCTCCTGCCGAAAGGATGTGAGCAAAGTTCCCGACAAGACCATGGCGGTTCTCAAAGCCAGCCGCGCAGAGGCTGGTGAAAACGACTACGAGTGCATCTGCACCTCTTTCTCCTACGTCTGCTTATGACAACGAAGACTACCGCCACTTCTGCTACGACCACTACTTATCTACTACTACTATTACTGCTATACTACTACTACTACTACTACTACTACTACTACTACTACTACTACTACTACTACTACTACTACTACTACTACTACTACTACTACTACTACTACTACTACTACTACTACTACTACTACTACTACTACTACTACTACTACTACTACTACTACTACTACTACTACTACTACTACTACTACTACTACTACTACTACTACTACTACTACTACTACTACTACTACTACTACTACTACTACTACTACTACTACTACTACTACTACTACTACTACTACTACTACTACTACTACTACTACTACTACTACTACTACTACTACTACTACTACTACTACTACTATACTACTACTACTACTACTACTACTACTACTACTACTACTACTACTACTACTACTACTACTACTACTACTACTACTACTACTACTACTACTACTACTACTACTACTACTACTACTACTACTACTACTACTACTACTACTACTACTACTACTACTACTACTGGCAACTATAAGTGCAAGTGCGACGACATCGCCAATCCGATTGCCTTTGCATCTTACTTTGTTTACATTATACCCTACAAAGATTGTATGTGATTGCTTGAATACATACATTTGTATATATATATATATATATACATACATAGATACATATATACATAGATACATATATACATATATACATATATATATATATGTTTTACATCAACATCAGCCTGCTCATCCGCGCCATCTGCGCGAAGGCCCTCGGTCTTGCATAAACTCCCATGGCCTGAAAAGCCTGGAACAAAGCCACGATCCAGAACCCCGCTTGGAGGTTCATGGGCAGTTCTAAGTGGAGTCATAAGTCCCTAATATGGGTTATAAATATCGTTATCCTACTTCAAACTCCACTTATAGCTACCCATGAACCTCCAAGTGGCCCAGTTCATGTTCCGATTTCAGGGCTTCGATCCCTTGCTGTCAATCCGCGAGCCCAAAACCAGCCTGGATTTCCGAAGGTCCTTGTCGTGGATGCCCTGTTGAAATCCGGCCGAACCCCCAGACTGGAAATCGAACTCAGCTTCAGGGTTTAGGGTTTAGCGGGTGTCTATGTCGAAGTCAGGGTCCCGACGGCTTAGAGTCAGGGTTCAAGGAAGCACTTGGTCATTACAATCGGGCGGGAAATCGGCAGTTAAACGGGGTGGTATCATGATTAGTGTTTGTGCCTGTTCGTACCTCGCACTTCAAGGCCTAATCGTATTTGCAATCGACACTCTTCCAACAATTAGAATCACTCCTGTTGCTCTTTGTTCGTCCGTTCTGAGCCGCCGATGTGCAGACTGCTGCAGGCTAAAGGGGCTTATCATAAAGGGTATAAGCTCCTTATTGTGGTGACGACATGAGTTCTCACCGAAGCTTTGCAGTAATTGCAAAGGGGCATTCAAGTGCTTTCCAGGACGAGGCGCAAAGCAAGAGATGCTGACCACTTATGTTTGCCGAAAGTGGGTACCATTAGGGGAATCATGAGGCACATGCAATTTTCCAGAGGCAGGTCGGCAGGGTATTCAAACTGTGACAAGTGAGGCTGTCGCCATGACTCATGTCCATCTCATCTTGTTCCTCTAGCTTCCAGGCAAGCACTGGCTTCCCCTCCAAAACCCAGCTGAAGCCTTCTAGACAATTACCAGTATCTAATTGTATGCAGGTAGTACTTCCTACATATTTATTAGAACAGGCGAGTTGTCTCTATATCTGCGTATCCATCTTTATTCATACGCATACACGTACTGTGTGTACCCAGCTTCTTAGGCCTAGAAAGTGGAATGATCACGGAACGATCACCATTATGTCACCCGGGCTGCATGCAACAGCACCTACCCCTACATGATATCACTCTACGTGTCTGTCTCTACGCGCGTTGTCAGATACCAGGATACACAGAACAAACACCCAGGTCATCATCCTAAGAGTACTGGTCAGCACAGTGCTCCTGTTGATTTGTTGTTACCGTCAGCGGCAACCATTACTAGCAGTGCTGTTGCTTGACAGCAAAAAAACCGTCGCATAATGCTGCAACAAGTGTTGCTGCATTGACGGTTACGATACTGTTAATGTAGGAACCTGATGAGGAAACCCTCGGTCTTTATTAGGGTTCTTTATATGAATCCTACTATTTTGGGGCTATAGGCCCCACGGTTTCTTAATCAGGTTCCTACATTACTGTTCCTTTCCCTTTTCATCGTCATTGCCCGAGACTTTCTGGCCACATGGCCGTCAGCACGACTGCCACTATGAACTAGGGCCCTAAACCCTAAGACCCTAAACCCTAAACATCATACGTATGGACCTTATCACCACGAACACCTTTCTGTCTTAGGTGTTAGGAGTTCTTGTTCGTCCTTACAGCTCGATCGCTCAAGCCTGGGCACAAGGTCCGAGCTATTCACATTTCGGCCTTGCACAGGCCCTAGAGCTCGCTTCTTGGCAGCACGCTGCGATTGTTACCATTAGTCTTACTGTTATTAATCAGCGTCGTCGTCTACAACAGTGACGCAATCGTCATACCGCTTGTCGGATGTTCAACTTCACCATGGCCGTTGCACTCAGTCAACAAAAGAAGCAACCGAAGGACAGTGCGGCGTGAAGCATCAGAGGAGTGATGATGCGATGCCGAACTAAGCCATCGTGTATCTCAATTGGGTACAGGTTCCAGGACGGCACACAGTTTCATTCTACTGCAGCTGTCTTCGTTTTTCTCTTGTTCTTCCTGTTGTCTATGTCCCTCCATTGTCACCTCAGTCCCTCAAACTATCTGGCGCCCTTCCTTGTGCCGCCGCAGCTTGGACCGTATCCAAATGACTAAGAGCTTGTGCATCGAATCCGTGTGTCGTCTCTGCATCTCGCAGTGCACCTTTGCACCTTTTTGTCTGCTTGCGGGTACCCGTCTGCCGCACAGAAAGTCATGTGTCTTGAGAACGTCTCTCTCACACACGTCTTGCTGTGCTCGGCGAATGGTCAACCCTAGCAGATCATTACAGACACCCTAACCCCAAACCCAAAACCCTAAGCCCTAAACCTCTCCATAATGACCCAAGCAACTCAGGTTCGTGCCCTCCGTCCGAAGAGGGCCTTGCTTGTTGGCATGCCCCTAGGCAGATGTTGGAGCTTTTGAGCAGCGCAGCCCCCGTACTATTGGGCCTCAAGAAGTACCTATAATTACTATTTTGGGGGGCTCCATCTTATCTAATCGTATACTCGGCCCCAGAACCGTATTCTAATTATTAAGGCCCCTATAGTAGCCCCGAGCCGAAAGAAGCCTCGAGCCTTTTGCATGAGATGGCCATGTCGAGAATCTGAAGAAGGTGTCTGCAGGGCCCGGTAGTCCTTTTGTACAGGGGTTAGTTGAGTAGCGGTCAGAGTCCCACGAGCTCGTTGCATGCAGATTCCTGTCTGAAGCTGTGATTAGCAGGAGTAACGGTGGGTTTAGAGTCCAGACTGGAGGTTGTGAATTCCGCAGATCCATAAAGAAGACACGTCCGAAGCTGCAAACCTGCCTGGGAGCAGCACCGGTACCTGACCAGGGCCCTTAGCCTTGCTCTGCTGGGATCCCTTTAAAGGGATCTATACGGATTCCATAAGGGTATAGGGTTTAGGGCCTACTTGGAGCTTCTTCTTATCTAGTGCATCCTCTGTGCATTTGCCTGTGAATCCCGCGAGTGCCCTGGACATGGGCACGGTTCCGTTGCCTGAGGAGTCTAAAACCCCTGCAAACTTTACCGGTCACTGGGTTGTCCTTTGGGATCTTGTTTTGCCCCTTACTATTTCGTAGGGAACCATAATGGTGTATAGTTTTCAAAGGGCTTAGAGGACAACTCAGGTTACCGGCACAACCCCTACACCTCGCTTGCACCAGCCAGACAAGTCAGGTCTTGCCAGTTCGACCATGAACGCGATAACGCCGAGACTTGGACACCAATATTCTATTTTGGGGTTCTTTACTATACTTATGGTATAACAATATTTCCCAAAGCCTTAGTCTAGTTATTCAGTGGTGTTTGTGCTTGGGTCTCAGCGCAGACTCTCCGTCTTCGGACTTACAGTGCAACAGGGATTTAGGGTATCGAGTTTAGGGTTTTGGGTTTGGGGTAGGGTTTAGGGTATATACGGTGTAAGGTTTAGGGTATATAGGGTTTAGGGTTTAGGGTATATAGGGTTTAGGGTTT